TCCCATAGGATGGTTAAATTGAAAAAAGACAGAATTCCTGTACCTTAAATTGTGCAAAGTGGGAGTTCAGCTTGTCATTAGAAGGCAAAAAAGCTTGACTTCTGAAAATCTCTCTCTTTTCATTTTACACAACCATAAGAGAGAAAAGCCTGTGTTCCTTTCCATTCAACTACCCTAAATGCACACCACCAGCATCAAGACAGAAGCTCACACAAATTAAAATTACCAGTCGCAGAAGACAATGCTTTGGTTTGCTTCATCCGAACTTCATTGTGGTGGCCAAGTGAGCAATGAGGATGTCCAGACTGAAAAAAAGAGTTTTAAGCATTATGCAAAAGAGAAGGATTTCAGCAAGTGCGGCATCTTCACACCCTGTTCATCCACAACACTCTTAATGGTACACGAACCACTGTGGAAGTGGTTCTCTTCACAGGCAACAAAGCATTAGCCATCGGCACCCCTGGGAAATATACATGATCCCATCGTCTTTGTGGATTTGTATTTATTATACCCCTTATTTCTAGCGAAAGGCATTTAAGCTTTTCTAGTCTTGTTAGCCCAACAGGCAGCAAGTTGTGGGTTTTGCTTGCTGCTCTGTACAAGTCTTAAAAGTCATTTGTGACCATTGCCTAGAAAGCTCAGGTGCGCTCTTCCAACATTTTCCTGCTTGCTTAAGAACACAGTAGGGGGACAATTCCCCTGCCTACTGGCAGCCTGGAAACATTTCTGCTGAGACCTCGTATTCTCAGGATTTCTTGGTTTTCTCAGATTAGCCCATATTTGGGTAAAGATGCTAAGGAATGCTTTCTCTCTTCTTTCCGGACAGTGCTACTGCCAGAAATCTGTGGAACTGTTTTAAATTCGAAATCACTGTGGAGTTATTTGGAAGTGCTGCAAGCATTGTCCTCTTCTTATGTTGAGGATGGAGGTGATATTTGGGGTCTTGTGTGATTCATTTTCCAGCTTTTCTTTACAACCCCCCCCCCCCCCGCCGCCGCAAGCAGAAAAGCTCAAGGATGAATTCAGAGAGGGCAGATAAAAGATGGCTCTGTCCTTCAGGGGCTGCTGATCAAAACGACTCACCTGCCAGCTGTCACGCCATCGTTCAGCTATTAGCACTGGACCACTGAAATAGATTCTGGAAGCCCCTTGCTTGTCTTCTACAGTAGGTAAAATCCAGTGCAGCGATGCAGTGAATAAGAAATACATAGAACACAGTCATATGCAACGATTCTTGTCAAGATACTCATGTCCTATAGAAAAAGGCTCAGTTCCATCCAAAATCCAAGGAAAGTGTGTCATAAATGTGCTGCGGCTAGCAAATATGAGGCAGTGATGTTTAGTGGTTAGTTTGGTCCAGGTTCTCGTCCCTGCTCAGCTGTGGAGCTCAGTAGGTGACTCACTCTCAGGGTTGTTTCTGTGAGGACCAAACAGTGAGGAGGACCTTGAAAGCCACCCTGGGTTCCTCGCAAGAGGAGGAAAGGTGAGAGATGCATGCTATAATGATCACAATGACTCTCCTAAAGCGATCACCACCAGTCAGCCTGATTTCTCTTTTTTAATCCTTAAAGAATCTGCAAGTAGAAGCCTCCTCCAAATGCAGGAGGACTTTTTCATGACATACTGCAAGATCCCAGGACAAGAAGCAGAAACTGAAAGGCACGATGTACTCCGTCGCGCAGAGCCTGAAGATACGTGGCAGCCAAAGGATGAGACAATCCCTTCCACCTCGTCACACAAGGTCTTCCCGACTGGCTCCTGCATTCATGAGTTCAGGGAACACTGCCATGGCAAAAGCTTCTGCCAGCGCAGCTGTGTCCAGCCCGCCGTCCCTGGTCCGCCTCTTTCACAGGTGCACTTGGGGAATAGGAGATTGCAGGACAAAACAGCCGCAGGGCCATCTCTCCAGCCTTGCCTGGTGGCTCCAGCCACAGCATCCATGCATGAACATGGACTCTGCAAGAGAACGGATGTGTCCACATGCGCAGTCCTTGATGCGTGTAGGATTTCCCATGAAACCTGGGAAAAGGCTCGGGAAAACTCACCTAAGTTCTCCTTTGCAGGTATGCTCACCTGTCATGGAAGTCGTCTTGGATGGATCCAGCTCCACTGCGTGGGGGTGGGAGAAGGACTAGGAGTGTGATCCTGCTACTCCCTTGCGTGTGCAGCCCCTTCATGCAACGTGAAGTGGGCTTTGATGTAGCTTGGTTCTCAGCGGGCCCATTCGTGCACCAATTCCAGACGGGCTCTGGCCTGACGGGCCCTCCACAAAGTGCTCTTCCCACATCTGAGACCACCTCATAGTGGCAGGAAACCCTCTTAGCTTCCAGCAATGACCTCGGGCTGGCCGGGGCATTCTGGGAAACTCAAAGAACCACCCAGCACGGCTACCACCCGCTAAGGTGCCCCTGACTCCCCAGGGGAGGGGGAGCTAAGTGACGCACAGGTCAGAGAAGAATTGCTTCCTGCAGAAGGTGGGTGGGGAAAGGAATAGGGCTGTGCCAAAGTGGGCAGTAGGCAAATGACCCCTCCCCAAATACCTCTGTACTTTCTGGACCAATGCCTTCACAACTGGTCCAGGACTTCTTTTCCTCTCTGATTGGTCGCTATTGTAACACCATTAATAGTTTGCTTGCAAGAAGATAGGTGGGACATGAATACAATAATATTAACAGCAACAACCACAATGATAAAGTAGCTGCCACATCATTCATTCACTTTGGCGATATGGCCTTGAGCTTGCTTGTCGCGTAACATGATCTCCCTTTAAAAATGCTGCCACAGCGAGGAGGGCTGCAAAGCTTTCCAGTCTGGAGTCTGTGGCATCACTTAGCGAGCGGGTTTTGGGGAAGGGAGCCAGAATGGGTGCGGAAAGGCTGCCGATGCATCGGCCTCCGTTGGAGCTCCGCCCTAAAGGATGAGCAACAATGAAGGATTGTGGAATTTCTCTCTGCTAGAGGAAGTCACAGTTACCATGAACCAGCCGTGGTGTAGCTTGGCCCTGCTGGATAAGGCTTTGCTCCTGAATACCAGCAGGGATGCCAGGGGCACAGTATCTGCATAGTAAGGACAGTGCCACTGGTGGCCTGCCCTGGTCACTCCTTCTGGTGACCACTGGTCCAGTCCTTTGCATGGAACTGCTGCAGCTGAAGACCGTTTGGAAATCTTCCCTGAACCATCTCCTAGGCTTGCTGCTCAAAATGGAAAATGTGGCACAATTTTGGGATGGCTCCAACTAGTTCTAGTTAGTTTTTAGGGTAAATTCAAGAAATTGCTTTGCATGGTCAAGTGCTACAGGGCCTGGGCTTGGAGTATCTGTGTGAACTCCCTTGCATAGCAGCACATTTTGAAGCCTCGTTACAGCATCAGGGATGTAAGGCTAGCTGCTTGAAACAAGAGCTTTCTGGCGCTGGCTCTCATCCTGGAAATTCCTTCCCAGGGGAGACTCACCAAATCTGTGCCATTGAACCAGGAAATTGTAGCCAGTAAATTTTCCTGTTTCTCCTGGACACAGAACTATTTTTACTGTCCTCTTCTCCTTCTCCTTCATGGATTATGCTTTCCACTGTTTTATACCGTCTGGTGATTTGTTACAGAGCTATATAATAAAACAATGACAGCATAGCTTTACACTTTTGTCTTCTTTGGGTTAAGCAGTGAGCAACCCACCCACTTTCAGGGTGGTCTTTCAGAAGTTCTCTCCCACTTCCTTTCATTTATCGGGAGGGGAGAGGAAGGGAGGGGAGGGGAGGGGAGGGTCATGCTGGGGTTTGAGAGCTGCAACTGTGTGTAAGGCACATGCTGGCTGGGGAATTCTGGGAGTAGTAAAAACCCCATTCTGCCTGAGCAGACATAGGATTGCACCTTTGAGCATGATAAATGTGGGAGCCAATGTGATGTAGTGAGTCGTGCTGAAAGACCTGCGGTCAAGTCCCTGCTCAGCCATGAAGTCCACTGGCAAAGGCTGCATCAGCTGTTAACCTGACTTACCTTGCGGAGTTGCCAGCGGATAAACATTGCAGCCTAAAAGGATGCCATCCTGAGGCCCACTTGGAGAAAAGCTGAGATTCAGGTGTCGACATAATGAATGAGTGTAGCCCAGAGTCGGAGCCAGTGTGGTGGCAAGAGTGCTGGGCTGGGGATCCGGAAGATCCGGGGCCAAGTCCCCACACATCAAGAAGCTCACTGGGTGACTCCGAGCCACTCACTCACTCTCAGCCTAGCCTACCTCACAGGGTTGTTGTTGTGAGGATAGGATGAAGTGGAGGGAAACGATGTAAGCCATTTCGATGCCCTTGCAAAAGGAAGGGAATGGCAGGATATAATGCCTTAGGGATACTTTAGGGTATCAATGATACTTTAGGGAAATGTGCTGGTAGATTGCATCTTTGCCATGAAAAAGATCCCAGGTTCGCCCACCGGTGTCTCACCCACAGGCATGCAGAGAAAGTCTCCTGTCTGGTCTGGCCTGGTACACGGGGACTCTCTAGCTTCCCTGTTTCTCTCAGCTGGACATCTAAGTTGGCATGGCTGTATTTTGTGTATGAAACAAAAGACAGCCATGCCAATGTAGATGCCCAGCTGAAAGACCATAAATAGAGCCAGAACTAGTGTGCCCTACACTGAGCCTTTGGACAGAGTGGATTGAAAAAGATCTAAAGCAGTGAATAAGAGGCCTTGCAGAGGGTGCCAAGGGACAACTCCTCCTCTGTAGGCACGGGGGGATGAAAAGAGCAAATGCAGAGATCTGGGGCAGCAGCTCCGTGCTTCATCCACTGCAGTGACTCCACCAAAGCATTTCCAGCGCATTCCATTCGTGCTCAGGATAAATAAAGGACATGCTCCCCCTGCCACCCCCCAGATTTGGCCTAGAATGAGCTTGCCTGGGTGCCTAGTTCCACTGTGGAATTTGAAGGGTTGCTTGGGACAGAGAGGAGGGAGGGAGGAGGGAGGGGAGGAGGGAGGGAGGAGAGAGCAGGCTATGAAACTTGGCTGAGCGACGGACTGTTTCCTCCAATTCTCCGGCTGCCAATGCAAACTGTTCTGCGTATTCTGGGGAGAAAGTCTGCTTATTCCTCCACTTCTGCTGGGGCAAGAGAGACTTCTCTGGACCGAGACCCCGAGAAGACATGCCTTCCATTTGGCCTCTGCTTTTTCTTTTAATGTGGAGTGGACAAGGACTGGGTAAGTGCCCCAGAGCCTGCAAAGGTGGGCATGCCATTCTCACCAGAAAGGAAGCTAAGAGCAACACTCAGGTGTGCTCTGAAGCAGCCAATGGGCTACTTTCATTTGCAAGGTTCATCTAAGCAAATCTCTCTATCCGCGTGGGCTTGGTTTAAATAGGGGGGCATGTTTCATAGAGGGAAATCGCATGCTTTCACGGGATTCTCAACATCTGCAATACTTTGGAACTTTTGGCCAAATGCAGAGCAATGTCAGCTAGATGGCATGTTGCTTGAGTGAGATCCACCTTCATGGATACAGGTTTTGCTGTTGTTCAGTTGTGGTGAGGTTACAATGTATGTCCAGTTGTGCTGATAAGAAAACATGGGTTTGCCATGAAGCTAAGTCAAGAGGAATCTCTTTCAAGTCTAGTTTTAATGCATTAGCCATGGTTAGTACTTGCTGCATTCCTGGGTGTTGCATTGTGCCGTGTTTGTGTGATTAAATAAATTGCAGAAAGGAGAGGGGATGTAGTTTGTGAAAAGCGCGATCTTTGCTTTTGTCTGTGTGTAGAAATGTTTTAAAGATGGTTTTGTCAGGTAATGCTGTTAGGAGTTTGCAATCCAGAAAAAGCTAAGGATAAGAAAGACTGTGATCCTGTTCATACTTCCTTTGGAGTAACTCCCACTTGAACGTACTGGAATATGCTTCAATGAACCTTTATAGTATCTGGCTTAAGGTCTCATTTATTACAAAATTTGGCCACCTCACTAAAGCACATGGGACATAAAAATGCTTAACTCTAGCTAGATCTTGCTAAAAATCTGCCAAGATTTTTTTTTTAAACCCAGCACTCAAACCTTGCTCCCTTTGGGTGTGTTCTTCTCATACACATACTTTTTCCTTTCTCAAAATTACACAGAAAAGCCAGTGACTTGTACAAACGTTGCATTATTGGTGTGTTCTTTCAAGGATAAATGGCTATTATCGAAATATAGAAATGCCCATGTTTCTAGGGCCACCCAGATAGTTCATGATATAAGTGTGCTATTTCCTTCTGCAAAGCTGCAAGAGTTCACAACTGCAGCTGCCCCTTCCTTGGAAGCAACTCCTTGTTCCCGCTTTAAGGTTAGGCAGCAAAAGCCAGTCTTGGAGACAAGCTAAGAAAGCAAAATGACAAATGGAGTGAGAGTTTGACCAAAGGGGTAAAAATGATTAATCCAGCCCATTCTTTAGCAGGCTGCTTACAAGCCAATGCTTGAACCAAGGGTGAGCCACTCGTAAGCCAAAACTTTTGGAAGTTTCCATCTCCCGGACCCAGTGCTATGGAACTCATCCAATTTCACATACACTCACTCTACACGATATCCATCAGCTGAGTAGCAGGGAGTGTGAAATGCACATTTTTCACCATTGCAAAGGAAGCTTTTTTACATGGAAAATACGGTTACACCCCAGTACTTGTTCACTTATTTTGCATTTTTCATTTCCCCTTTCTTCCTCCCTCTTTAATGCTGCTAGTTGCACTACCCACTGCTGTAAGACTAAATCTGGCTCCTCGGTCCTCCCATCCCAATGCACTGTGCTAATCAGCTGCCCAGGGTACCTTGCACTGTCTGGGGAATTGTACATGCCACATGCACGATTCCTCATTCAGCAAGACACTAAGAGAAACGAAGCTGCCTATGGCAGAAGTACGATCCTTAGCTGGAACACGGAGCCCCAAGAAACAACGCATTATTGCTGTTAAAATAGGAATGTTGTACTCTGTAGTTAGACGCCCGAGAGATATGTATTGATGGGGATCCAAAGAACACGCCTAAGGAAATTTTAGACTTCACTGCTTCTGGTGACGTGTATCTGAAACGTCCTTCCTCTAAGAAGCTCAAGGCTTTGCACCAAGGGCCAGACCAGATGTGTGGCAGAAAAGCCATTTGCTTAGTTTCAGGCTTGTCCCAGTCGTATGTAAGTATTTGTCCGCCTGTCTGTTCTGGCATCCACAGCAAAAGTGTGTGTGGGTGTGCCAACCCTTCTGCGTCTCAATGGTTTACCTCTGTCCTTGCAAACACTTTTTCCCTTCAATGACCCAGTGTGCACATCATGCCAGCAAGCCTGGAGAGTTTAATCCAGGCTTTGCAGAGCTTGTCGTTTCTGCTTTTAATTAACAACCTATTAATTAACAGATAGGCAAAGTGAACTCAGCTGGGAGAAAAGCGAAGGGGAATCTGTTGTAAAGTTTCTGGTGCCCTGCCTGTATGCGCCTCTTTTGCTCTAAAAATAGGGTAATCTGCCCTCCCCCGCCCGTTTCTATGTGGTACAGATCAACCTCAGTCTTAGATAGACCTTAGAAGTCAAGCTAGCCCACCTCGCTTGCCCCGGTGAAAGATGCACATCTGACTTGCAAGGAAAAGCAAAGCAGAAGCCCATGGGTACACACGCCACACTAAAACGGCCCTTTGGGTTGTTTCCAGCATGACTTTTCAGCCGCTGGATGCCTCTTCCTCCAACCTACAGCTGGACTGAATTCATGAGAAGTACAGGAGAAATCTCCTTGTGCCCAGTCCATGGTATAATATGGAAATAAACAACAGCTACCCTGTAAAAATGCAAGGCACAAGTCTTCCTGGTTTAACACCATTCTCAAGAGTAGAAGTTTAGCCTCTCCATTACAGTTGCAATTAGGCCAATCGTCGTGGACAATCCACTAATGAAATGTTTAGGTGGGTCTGGGAAACTTTCTTCAGAGCCAAGTCAACATTTATATTCCCTGTGCAACCCCAAAACCTTGCTCTGCAGTGGGCTTGTGTTCCAGACTTTCTTACAGTGGGGCCCAATCAGGATGTTATTCCGACAGTAACTTTATGGGAATGCTTGAGATCCGGAATTTATGAGAATTCCACCCCAGGCAGGTGGTGGGATATGGCGACAGGTTTTCATTAAGGCAAATCCAAATGAAATAAGCAATACTTGGGTTGATTACTGGGTGCTGTTCTGTTGTTCTTGGATTTTAGCTTCTGCATTCTGGCCCTACCGTTTTATGGTCTTGTACTTTTAAAGGGTTAATTGTGTTTAGATTGTTTCCCCAGCTTGGGGAAATCTTTGAACTGAAAGACAGCATATAAGTAAATGACATTATTAGTAAAAATCCTCAGGGAGGTGGAAGGAGGATCAGTGGAAGAAGTAGAAGATAAGAATACACAAATTGTTCTGGACACCTCCTTTATATAAAATATAAAGATTAAGAGAAGATGATAACCAAGACTGCTCTATGAAGAGCAATTGAAAGCAACTTAGTCTTCTCAAAAACATGCATGTTTCTGAATAAGCTTTATCATTTTTCTCAACACCGACAGTTCTAAGCAGAGCAAACATGTTTGGGCACCGGGGGTTTACTTTTATGGGAATTTGCTTTTGCATGGACCAGAATAGGCCGTGCTTGAGAAATCCTTTCTGTTGGAGAGAATGAGCTCAGCAGTGATGTTCCCACGCCGGCAGTCACAGCTTTGTGACGAGTCGCCAGCGCTCCACCCTTGGCTGCACAGATGTGTGTTGTTGACACAGACTGCTCTTTCCACACTCTCCAGCCTCTCGAAAGCAGTCGTAAAAAAGCAGTGGAAGAAACAGCCTCTGCCAATCCCAAGAGGAAGATAAGGTTATCACTGGTCTCCACACTTTTTTCCTTCACGGAACTCCTTGTCCTCTCAATATTAACCTCACAACAACCCTGTGAGGTAGGTCAGGCCCAGAATCAGTGACTGGCCCAAAGTCACCCAGAGGACTTCATGGCCAAGTGGGGACTGGACCCAGATCTGTCAGATCCCACAGCAGTGCTCTAACCACTACACTGCCTCTTCACTACACTACCCTGGCATACATTTTCTTTAACATAACATACAGTTGCTGCTAAAGCGTTCTTCTGCATGAGGCCTTTACACTGCACTTGTCATCAGTCCCTGCACACAATTCTTTGCGGGTTCTTTGGACAACACTGTGTTTCTTCAGTTTCACCTGTTTTAAATAGCACCTTAAGTTTTTTTTGTTTGTCCGTTGTTTGTGGTCTTTCCAGACAAACCAAAGACTATGCTTTCTCCTCTTGTGTAATTGCGTTGGTCTGCCATACCACTCTGCCACCTAGGGGTGATGTAACAGAAAAGCAGGAAAAGTTACCCTCTTTATGCAGAGACCAGAGCTCTACTTCTTGATGAACGTGAAAGTCGATACAGCAGATTAACAGCTGCTGGGCAGAAGAGGCTCTTGCAAAGCAGTTTAGGATACTTCCCAGATGTGTTCAAGCATAAACCTGATATACGTGCCGGAGTATGGTCTGAAGTCATCCACCCTGTTGAAGCGAAGCAGGGCTGGGGCTGGCCTGAGCTTGGAGGGGAGACCACCTGGGAACCGCGTGCAGTCACCTTTAGTTCAACCATGGGGAAAGGTGGAACAGAAATAGAATCAATTAAACCAGAAAGTCTCATTATCTGTGCTTTTGGTTCAGTTAGCAACATGGAGGCTACAAAGCTTGAACTCCAGTATTTCAGTGTAGACAATGAGCCAATTTGGATAGAAATTTTTCAGCGTCGTTTTCCACTATGGATTTACTTGGCCTGTGTGGGTCTGCCTAGCATGATGGGTTTGGTGTGGAAATCAAAGCTTGTTGTGAGAGGAGGAGGTGTATGTACACCCAATGCTCCAGGGCCATTCCGCGAACTTGATTGGTGGGAGATTTAGAACAGAGACAAGAAAGGCCTTCTTCACACAACATGTAGTTAGAGAATGAAATTTGCTGCTATGGGAAGTGGCAATGGCCACCAACCTGGGTGACTTCAAGAGGGGATTGGACAGATCATGGAGGAGGCTATCCATGGCTACTGGGCTTGCTGGCCATGTGCTAGCAGCTTCACCAGAGGTAGGATGCCTGAATAGACCAGTTGCTGAGAAGCTTGGGAAAGAGGAGGCCTTGCACCCATCCTGCTGGAGGGATCCTGCAAGCAGCTGGTTTGCCACCAGTGAACAGAGCGCTGGACTAGGTGGGCCTTCTTCTGTTCTTAAGCTGAGAATGTTGTATCTGTACTGGCCCATCTGTGGCTTTCAGGAATTCATCGGTTGTGTTCGTGTGATTGCTTCACTATGCATCCAAAATCTGATTTTTCCATCCAGGCTGATGTTTTCTCTTAAAGGATTACGTTTTCCTCATCTCTCTTACATAAGGCATGAGAAAACAGGATTTTGAAATTGTAGAGGTTTTGCCAGCATAATTAAGAACAGAAATGTTTGCACCAAGGGTAGTCGTGGTGGAAAGTCCACCACACACAGCAGGAGCTGAACCTGCTTTGCTCTGTACTCACTGGCCCAAGAAAACCCAAGCAGATGTTGGTGTTGCAGAGTTGTGTGTGCCTTTACGGAGCCAAGAAAGCTTCCATCTAATTCTCAGAACCTGCATTCGTTACCACGTGGTTTAAAAGTCAGTTTCACAATCAGAAATGCTACCTTTTCCTCCATCCACTCTAAAGGCTGAATGGAGAATTACGTAGTGAGAACAGCCTTCCCCAAGCCACTGCCAGCATCTCCAACCACTGGCCATTCGGGCTGGGAGTTGAAGCCCAAAACATCTGCACTGCATGTGGGAAACCAGGGAAGGGAAGTCTGGAAGGGAGCCACACAACTCAGTAATGGGAGTGGTAAAAGATAACTGGCAGAATGATCGGGCTTCAGGTGAGAGAGAATGGATTGGACACAAGGGAATGCCCCAGAGAAGATGCCTGTAACAGCAGAATCCAGGCTTGAGAAAAGAGTCAGTAAAACAGGCCAATTTTTATAGTGTTGTCCAGGAAGAAATTACGCAACCCATTAGCAGGGCTTTCACATGCAGCCCCTTTAAGTGCGTTCATGATGGAAGTAGCTGGAACAGGCATTTGTTTCATGAGGATGTTATACTTCCCAGCTGCAGGAATAGACATGAGAGCTGTCCTACCGAGTGACAAACTTGTGCACGAGGGGACAGTACCTGTGTTCTTAAATAGCAGCATTTGCACTTATTTTACAGCAACATCCTAAAAGTATTCTCTGCAAAGGAGCCCATTTCCTGCCCAGCCAGGGAAGGCATGGCTGAAATGTGCTCTCCCTTTTCCCGCTTCCCCTTCCAGGCTGCAACATTTTCCCAAACTCAGGAGCGGTTTAGCTTTTTGCCACTGCTTACACCCACATTCCCTGACTTTGAGGAGAACGAATTCCACATAGTTTTGGTTTGCACTCATTCTCCTCAACTGGGTCGGGGGCTCCACTGCAAACCATTGAGGGTTTGATGGGCAGCCAGACTCTGGAGGAGGAGGTGGGTCTTTTGCCTGCTCTTGAATCACATCTTGTGTTTCTTCCTGGAAAGACTGTAAAGGAGACCTTGGTTTGCCTGTATTTTGTCTTCAAATAAAAACAATGCGGAAGACAAAATAAGGGAATCAAGGTAAACAAACAGTTATTTGATGGAACAGTGGAACTCCACGGGCCAGCCCTGGAAAAAATGCCCAGACTCTGGAAGTATGCAAAACCCCTTCCCCTCTTAGTCCTCCACCTTCAGCTCTTACCTTTAAATGCCATGGAGTGAACTCAAGTTGCAACTTTTCCATGGGACACATTTTCTCTGTCTTCAGCAGCTGCTCGCTGTGCATACACAATGTGAACTTCTTATTCATTTCCAAAAACAAGATGCTGATGCAGGCTTGGGGCAACTTTCTCTGGTCAGTTGGCAACCTTGGCCTGAGCTAGTGGAACTAGGCAGGAAAAAAGACCCACAGCCCCAACGTGGTCTGAGGAACAGCTGCGAGTTGTCACTCCTGGGCCAGCCACTGCCTCTCAGCCTGATTTATCTAACAGACTTCCTGCAAGGTATCATTAATAGAAGGAAGAGGGCCATGTGCCACTGTGGGTTCCTTGTGGGAAAAAGGAGAGACTATAGATATAATAAATACATCAGATAAACAGGATAAGCAGGTCCTGCTTCTGCCTGTTTAGGATTCTGGAGAGTCCCACACGTTTCTAAACTTCAGGGAATTCTTGCAGGACCCAACAGGTATGGATGACCAACGCAGCAACACCAAATCCAGAGCTGAGAGTTAATATTGCTTCATCTGTCCCTCTCCCCATCCCCAGAAGCTGCCACTGATCCAGAAGTTGGTCCCCAAGGCAGCTTGGAGCAGGATGAATGGTGTGATGACCACAGTGCAATTCACCGGCGCTTGGATGCCATCCAGGAGGTAAGTGGGTCCAGCCACACGCAAAATTACTCTCTTTTCTAGGCACAAGAAGGCACTTGGGCCTTCTTCCCACCACACTGCAAAAGGGTCCATTATTTCCCATTTATTTCTGAGTTGCCTTTTGGCTCAGAAAGGGTCCGCAAGGCAACCCACAATTTAAAGCAATGCAAATGATTTAAACATCCTATCATAGCAAAATTAAGACCGGGGGTAAAGGATCCTTTCAAAAGGGAGAGCAGAGTGTAAAATAACTCCAGCTTCCATGGCTCACCAGACTTTAAGTGAAGAAGGGGCCAGGCTGACCTTGCTAAGCAGAGTGTTCCACCATAAGGCTGCCACCACAGAGAAGGCCCTGCCGTCCAACCTCGCTGAAGGCGGGGGGTGAAGAAACCAGGTGTTGGCTCAAAATGGAGCCAGTACTGATCCCTTCAAAGAGATCTCCTCTGTAGCAAGAGGATCAAGGGGAGGTGGTGGACCCCTCTGCTCTCCATTGCAATCTTTCCCCTGTGCTTTATAGGCACACCCATGCTGCTTCGTCATGCCGAACCAATTTTGGGGATAGGCTCCAGCACCCTGGATAGCTCCTATGAAACTCAAACTAAAAGTTGCATTGGGTAAGGATCCCCACCAGGTTGCCTGGACAGGATCGTGACCACGAGTCGCAATTTAGAGACCCATCATTATGCTGGGGGCACGGGGAAATGTAGGCACTCTTGGGAGAGTCCTGTTGTTTGCGCAGCCCATTAGCAAATGATACCCAAAGTTGCAAGGCAAACTGATCCGGTGGCGACAGTGCCAGCAGCAGCAGGACTGCAGGCTCCATGTTGGGATGCCAGAATTTGGCTCGGAGGCACCCAGCTGCCATCTTTGATATCCCTGATTTTTTACACGGAAATAACATGGGTAGCAAAGCTGGAGTTGCCTTCTCCGCTACATACCCTGGAGAGCTGCTTCCTCTGGAAGGAGAGAGAGGTGATCGGATGAAGGTCTGGCGTAACTGAGGGTAGCTGCAGATGGGACTGGGAAGGCGAAGCAGTGGGTGGCGTGCTGGGCCTTGGACTGAATGCCGCCTTCTTGAGGGTTCTCCGTGCTGGACTGGGGCTGCCGCGCTCTCTAGGAACCCGGAAGCTGCCAATTCTGAACCAGACATGGGTCCCTCCAGCCCCCACGGCTGAGTTGGACCAGCAGCGATGGCTCTGCAGGCAGGGCGTTCTCCCGCTGTACCTGCAGGTGCTGGGGGGACCGCGAGGCCTGCAAGCGAAGCTGGCACCCTGCTCTTGAGCAACGGCCTCTCCCATCACTCCACCTAGCCTATCTCACAGGGCTGTCACACAAGGATAAAAGGGGGCAACGGCTGAGCTCCTTGGAGGAAGGACAGGAGAGGACAGTGCAGATCAGTTCTGCCCACTCTGGGGAGCACTCATGCTGCTGGGACAGCTTTTCTGGGGAAGCCTGTACAGCGTGACAGTAACGTATGTTCCCCCCTTGATTCTGCATCCACCCATTTTCGCACAATGCTGCATTTCACTTGTGTGGGCTTCCTTACAGAAAAGATGCTGCATTCACATGCAACAGTAAACCATAGCTTAACGTTACAAGAACGAGCCTTCGCAGCCTTAGGCTCCCCTTCCCTTCCCTTCTCCTGCATGGCTGCGAGGAAGAGAGTGGAGGTCTGGTTAACCACCATTTCATGTCAGGAACCTCATCTTAAATGAACTGCTTCATTCTGTGCACTTGATTTGGAGCTTGCTTTAGCATCCCATAGTTAAAACCAACCACAGTTTGGCTTTGGCTATTGAGCTATGCTGTGGCCAGAAAAAGGGAACAATTCCACATTCCTCCTTCGACAGAGACTGGGGGAGCCCAAGTCCTGCGCCCACCTCACTGAACCAGGACCGGGCAACTTTAGAAGGCCCAGGAGTCGCTTTCAGTGCCAACCTTCCAAACAGCCGGTGCTAAAACAGCTACCCGAGTGCTGCTGGTTTTCGATAGTGCAGCAGCAGCAGCAACCAAGAAAAGCCAAATTCCCACTTTAAAACAAAGCTCACGATGAGCAGGTGCCTTGTCGGAGAGGCAAATCGCATTCAGCCAAACCCCAGAAAAGCGTGAGTTGTCCTTAAAGCAAAGGGCAGATCCTCTGCGCACCTTTCCTTGAAGCAAACATGCATCTTTTGGGGTCCACTCTGGGAGTGGCAGGGTCACAAAACAGGCCTGGGTACAGGTTGCCAATCCGTGCACAAAGTCCGGACTTAAGGTCAGGCATAAATCCAGCTCTCCACTTGCCGGTCAAGTTCAACTTGTGTAAAAGTGTGATACTCTTGACCGGCAGGGGGCAGTAAAAGACCAGAAATCCTCACTTTATTCCACACTAATGTGATTTTATGTCTTGAATCCATCTGTGAGCCAAGGCCTTCCAGCAAACTAAGCTTTAAATTATCCTTGTGCAGGTCTGGATTAAAGTGAAAGGATATGCTAAGGACAGACTGCCACCTGCTTTTGCATACACCATGGGAGCAATGAATCTGGAAAAAGGGCACACACAAGAAGAGCCATGCAATTAAACTTCTCTCTGGGGATGATCAAGGCATAATGTGCACCCATGCCTTGAAAAATGGCTCCAAATGCCTCTTTAATCCAAGATCAACTTAAAGCAGGGATGGGAAGCTTCAGAGGTCTGGGAGGCTGAACTGAACCTTCCAGAAATGGCTAGGTATGCACATCGCATCTTGCCAAAGATGCTCCGTTGCACAACCAGATGTTCTACTGGGAAAAGGGGCACGTGAGAAGTAGTGGGCTTTGCAAAATTCCCCCTGGCGGGTGGCAAGCATAATATGGACTGCATGTAGGCCACTCCTGACATTAAAGCATGTGAGCAGAAGGCACAGGTAAGCAACTTGCTCTCCTGCAGATGGTGAGGCTGCGTTTCCCAGGATGCCCAGCTATTGGCCCTGCCAGCTGGGCTCTGTGGGTGCTGCGGTCCAAAATATCCTACTGCCTCCCTCTCTTTTAGGATGTTTCTAGGGAAGAGCATGCACAAAGCTCCACCTGCAGCCTGAAAGTGGAGCTGCGCAGACTCCACTTGGGTTGCTTTCCCCAGGGATGAAAGCACCTGCCTTGAAGAGACCTACCTGGGCGCAGAGGGTACCGGCTCATTCAAAAGATGAATCATGCTAATCAGTGCTTGGGTGGGGTCACTGGGTCCTCAGCAGCCCCTTCATGGTTTTTGTGCGGGGGTGTTCTCCGTTTGCTAGAAGCCACATGTCTGGATGGGAATCGCTGTGACCATACCCCAAATGTCTCTCTCCCTCCATTAGCGAATGGAAAAAACTGTTGATTCTCTGGACTCGGAAGTCACCTCTTTGCTCAACACCGTAAGTGAAACAGCATGGAGTGTCCCCCTTCCTCCTGGGTCTCCACAGGTGGATCTACTTGAAGGTATTCTTACTCTCATTTAGCTCACTTCTGCATCGCCCCATAGCCAAACTTCTCTAGGTGGTTTACAACAAGATGAGGTTACAGGAGTAGCACAATCCAAGATCAGTTTCCCAAGATGGTACCCTCCAGGTATATAGGGCCATAGCTCCCATCACTCCCAGCCAATGGCCATGCAGACTGGGGAATCTGCCAGGCTGCTGATGGGGACTGGGTGTTATGCTCACATGACTCCAGTCCTCCGACAGCTTCACTGGCTTCCCATTGAAGTCCGGGCCCAATTGAAGGTGTTGGTGATGACCTATAAAGCCCTAAACGGCTTGGGACCTGGTTACCTGAAGAAGCGCTTACATCCATACCTGCCCGACCGCCCCTTGAGATCTGCGGGAGAGGCCCTTCTCCGGGAACCCTCCGTGAAGGAAATTAGGAGGGTATGTACTCGGAGGAGGGCTTTCTCTGCGGTGGCGCCCAATCTATGGAATGTGCTCCCCAGAGAGGCCCGCCTGGCGCCGTCGTTATTTGTTTTTCGGCGCCAGGTGAAGACCATTTTATTTAAACGTCATTTTAATTGTTAACAATATTTACTTATTTATCTGGCCAGGGCGACTTCTTTTCTTTTATAACTTTTCTTTTATAACTTCTTTTATATCGTTTATATTTTTTATTTATATTATTAATTTTAATTTTATATTGTTATTTTTATATTGTATTGTATTTTATTGTGTTGTAAGCCACCCTGAGGCTTCGGCAAGGGGTGGCATAGAAATGTTCTAATAATAATAATAATAATAATAATAATAATAATAATAATAATAATAATCGCAGCCCTGTACTTCTAGTGGGACCAGCTTGGGTCTAAGCATACAACCAAGCCTAGACTCAGCCGTTTAGCCACTGGCTCTTGAATCAAGATGGTTTAATAAATATTCCTTTTAAAATCCCCACTTTTCTTCCTTGCCACGTAGGGGTTTTGCACCCACATGCTGGGCAGCATCCGCTAGTTTGGTAAGAACCCTGTTCTCTTGACCACACACTCAAGAAATGCACTCAGCTTTTGCACTGTACATTTTGCACACTGCAGTGTATATTCGAGTCACCAGGAGAAATTTTCTGGTTGTTGCATCCTTAAACATCAAGGTATTTTCGCCCCCAACATGGATGTCTATTCCATACGCATGTGCTACCATCCAACAGTCCCCTTCTGTAAGTGAAAGGTGTTCTCTTCACTGGACTTTGGATGTTTCAGAAGTCTTTGCTAATGGAAAGGAAGATGCATGCAATCTTCACAGATTTCCCATTCTCAAGAAAACCCCTGGAGGATGGAGAGATCCTCTGAAACGGGATGAGCAGTGGCACAGCGCCACATAGGGCTGCTGGGGGACAGGGAGGCAAGGGTGAATCTCCCCTTATCTGCACTGTTAGTGGTCAACACTGTCTTCTTTAGCACCAGTAGTTTGGTGGTCATCCTCAACCATCATTTTCTCACTTTCTCTAGATACCAGCTGAGCTTCACAGCGATGGGTAAGAGCATGGGCTGTAAGCATATACACAACGGACCCACATCGTTCATCCAAGGTGCACTTCATAGGCTTGTCTTGTAGGCTTTTAAATCAAGCTGCAGTATGTAAGCTTGGACTGGACTATGTTTGGCAAGAAAAGGTCTTCTGTGATGTTGAGCAAAATTCAGTCCAAAATCCTAAGATAAAATTAACTCAGGAAGAAGCATGGGATCTCGAAGAGGTGGCTGTCATGAAGATGTAAGGATGCCAGCATTGTGTAAAACCATTCAGAAGCAGCCTTGCCGTAATGCTGAAGTAACTGTTGCGGAATCCTGAGCAGCTTTTGAATAAGGTGGTAGAGAAGGAAAGGAAGGTACAGGGACCAAGCTATGAAGATTTCCTTCCCAGGGCCAATTGTGATTTCTGAGACTGAGAAAGTACTCCTGGTAGAACCAAATTAAGTGGACTGGCATTAGATTAGTCCAGCATGCTGGGCTTTGGCAAGCTAAATCTTGATCGTTGCGATTTAGATTAAATGCAGATCACCCCTCCGTTGAAGAGTGCTTCAGGTGAGAGACACCTGAAAGCCTTTAAGCAGCAATAAAAGGACAGTTACTTTACTTGAAAAAAAAGTGAAGCAACCCTCAGACCTGTCATGCCAGCATCTTCCTTAGCAGCTTCACACAGCAGCATCCCAGATGATGTGGGGATCCCTCCTCTTCCACATGCCTCATGTGGTCACCATGGCAACAGAGCGGTATCCATGTCATAATGGCTCATGTGTTTTCTCTTCAGGCATCCCTCTTAAGCCTTCCCCAGACATGAGTTCAGCCTTAACCAACCCACTGTCCTCCTGATGGTTTGCAGAACTCAAAGAATTCTTGACCCTTGGCTATGCCAGCTGGAGGGCTGTGCTTCCAGCGCATGGGAACTGAGAAACTTCCTTTCTTCACACTTTATGTACATGTGCAGAGCACTGCAAAGCTGGGGAGCAAAGGGCTCGCTCTTGACCTTGATGATCCGAGAGGCAATAAAAAGGGGTGTTTACCATTTAACCAAAAGCGTTCTTGACTTGGGGAAGACTAGGCAACAGGGCACTCTCCTAATCTGCGAGAAGTTGACGGCCCTTCCGAACTTGGAGCACAACTCTCTGTGCTGGACTGCCTTCCCAGCTGGCACGGCCTTTGGATAAGAAGGGTGGAAGCTGGAGTCCAAGCTATCTGAGGAAGGCTGTAGCACTCAGCGTTTGGATGCTCAGCTGAAGCAGCCATTTTGAAGTGAGCTGCTTGAAAGGAAATATACCGAGCCCCCTACGTCAGCCACATCAATGGAGGCATGGTGCTCAGGTCACATCATGGAAAGAACTGTGTGATCTTCTTTCCTACCATTCAACACATTCTTGGAGGAGTGTCTCACTTAGTCTCCTGTGCAAAGAGCTGAAAACGGATTCTCCACTTATTTGTGCTGCACCACCCGGGCCCTCCGGATAACACCAAAAGCTACTGGGAAGAACACCAAGGGCATCTTCCCCCGATGGTCTTCCGGTGTTTAGATGCGGCAGTCCTTATTCTGGGTATTCCCTCATTCCATATGCTGCAGTGCCCATGAAGCCTGCAGCCGTCGGGAAGGACATTCTCCTCCCCCCTTGGAGTGGGGAAGGGGATGCCAGGGAGGAGAATGTCATGGGGGCTCAGTCTGCCCATGCAGTTCCCGATCCAGTATCTTATTCTTATTTTGGACAACAAGGACTAGAATATTGTATGAGCAGCATGGTTTGCTTTGAAATCATGGATCATTAACCCGCCGCACTGGTGCCACCAGCATAAGCAGCACAAGCAAGGCTTCTAGGAAGCGGCAGTGTTAGGTGTTCCCCAGCTCAGACTCAATGCCACAAAGGAGAGGAGACTCGAGGGAAGGGTGCTGTGCAGAGGGCAGTTCCTCAGGCCCAGACTGGACTTGCAGCACACTTGCTAAAAGCTTGGCCTCCATCGCTTTGGAGCTTCCCAAGGCGGGGGCATCTGGCCACTGCTGGAAACAGGGCTTGTGGGGGAGGCTGTTCCTCATGTTTCGCTCTTGTGCAACTTCCACTCTGCCCTTCTTCCGAAGCACTGGCCCAGGGAGCAAGCGCTCACGGATGACCTCATGTGCTAAGGATTACCATGCGCAAGCAAGAATCCTGTGGCAACATTTGCCCCGGACACTGCTGAAGCCAACAAACCAGGAACGGCTTGCTCAGCAGTCTGATGATTTCCCATTTCCCGAAAGACTTTTAAGAGGCCCTGTCTCGGAAGGAAGCAGGCCAATAAAGTTGTCTGAATGGTGTTGTCAGGAGAGAAACGACCTAAGTGTATACAGGGCACCAATATAAAAAAGCCGCTTCGAGAGGTTTAGAAGATAGATTGCTTTATTTATACAAATCTGCTTCATTAAAAATTACATATATTCGATTTTAAAGGCACAATTCAAAAACCATGAAAAGAAAAGAAGCTGACATGCTCTCGTATGCAAGGTTTTCTGACTCTTTCAATGATTTCTAGTCAAAGCTGAGTTCATTTAAAGTCAGTGATTCAACTGGGAAAAGCCAAGAATGACAAGACATTAAAATCAAAGGGAGACTCTGGTGCATATTTTTGCAAAAGAGGTGCATTAAATGTGGAATTTCCATTCCTCTCTGAGTACATTTCAGTTCAGTGAATGAGACTGTGCAATAGTTTGGATGCCTTTGTGTGTAACCTAGGGATGCAAACAAACCAAGCCCTTCTTTACTGCAAAATCACCCACTTCTCTCCACCAAGAAAGGAAGGTGCAAACAGATATTTTACTGCAGAACTAGAGCCAAATTAGATGTAATGCTACAGGAAGCCAGTCAGGTTTTTAAAATTTTATAATATGGGCAGCTTGGGATGAGACTTTGCACTGGGACCACAATGTACAGCCAGGGGATTTGAACCCTTCTCTTTTCTGCCACTATCTCGATGAAAACCCTCCCAGCGATAAAAGCTCCCACTGATTAAAAAAAACAGCAACAACCACACACACACAGACACCAAGCTGCTTCCCAATGACAGATTTAGTATCTCAGCCAGTTTTTCCCTGATTCTGCAGTTCTCCATTTCCATTCTCCTTCCAGTGCTCAGAGAGGAAAATCCCACCTTCTAATAGCAAAGAAGCTGCTCCCTCTTCCCTCCTTATTCTGCCTGTGGGAGAACGGAGTGTGGCTGGTAATGAATGAACAAAGCCTGAAAAAACCACACAACCCTTTTTCAGAACAGGCACTTTTGATGCAGACTACAGGAAGCGTGTAAATAGCAAACTCGCCAAGCATCAGACATCTTGCCGTTTTCAAGAACAAAGCTATAGAGATATTTGTGCACACAAAAAGAGGGTGCCCCTTCCCCACACCTCCAACAGGAAGATAAGCCATGCTGCACAGCTCTCAGACTGAGGAACATGGGAGCAAAGTCCTATCTCCAAACTGCAAGGATCCCGTTCAGCAGCCTCTATTATAGCAGAATTTATTTCTGTATTTATTATACAGTTAATGAATGGAATATAGTGAGAATTGTTTATCCAACATGGCACTGTGATGATAGTTGGTATTTTTAAACAAAAATCCAAGCCTGAGACACTTAGTCATTTCCACCACACAGTTTGAGCAGGATTTTCCGGTAGTCCCCTGAAGTGTCACCCTGGCAATAGAAAAGCAAAACTCAGTGTGTGAGGGAAACAAACAAAATGGAAGAGCAACGCTGACCCACAGCTGGAGAAAGCAAACCAGCACACCCAGCTGCTTTCCTGATGGAGGCCAGCGGACGAGCCTCGGTTAATTGCACAGGCAGTGGCAGCGGGCAAAGAATTCTATGCACCCCAATTCGTTTGGACGATAGGGTCAGTGCTACAAATTCTATTTGCCCCAGAGAGCATAGCACATGGCAAGAGCTGGAGGGAACTGTAGTCCAAGGCCACCAAGCCGCTTACTCCTGTGACTGGATGCTTGAAGGAAGGAAAGGCTGTTCCCAACACTAAGAGGTTGCTTTGTGGGGACACCTTCATCAAATCCATCCCCCACTTTGGGTGGATGACAAAATGAGTCTTTTCAAAGGTTTCTTCTCACCAGGGAAACCCAGGTGTCAGGAATCCAGAACTGCTGTACTGGGAACATCATTCGTTCGGAAGAGGAGAACTGGACGGCAGCCACATTCCACTGCCCAGGCTGCCAGCCGCTCCTTCCTCCCAGCCCAATTTGTTGGAACCAAGGGCAGGGATGGATGGACGGATGGATGCACGAACCCCCAGCGGCTGGGCCGGAGGGCTGCCAGTCGCCAATCTGAAGGCAAGGTAAACGACCCTGCCCACCTCCACCTAATGCACAGTGATCTCATGCAGTGGGAGAGGTAGCAGCTACTGCTCCCAGCGCTGATCTTCGCTTCCTTGCCTTCGCTTCCTTGCCTCGCATTCCAGATGAGCAGGGCTTCTGCTCCCAAGCGCTGCAGGGCGCTTTTTGAGCCGGCCAGCTCACAGCACAGGCTGCCAGTCTAAGCTGGCATGCAAAGCCCGATGGAGGGCCAGACACTAGTGTTGGAAGGGGCCTGTAAGGCCACTGAGTCCAGCCCCCTGCAAATTAAAGCTTCCCTGACAGAGGGCCAGCTCACTGCATCCTGGATGCCTCCAACATGGGGGAGCCCACAGCCTCCCCAGGGAACTGGTTCCTGGTAACGGGTACTGCTCTAACAGTCCGGAAGTTCTCCCTGATATCCAGCCAGCATCCAGCTTCCTGTAGGCCACTGAGAAGAGAGCACCTCTTACCGTGATGTCTGTGTAGAGCGATTTGCCGTACATCCGCTTGTACTCTTGGCGTATATCCAGCAGGTCGACCTCGCTGCGTGAAACCATGATTCGGATAAGAGTCCTGTCTTTGGTCCCAGCTCCCTAAGAAGACCACAACATGGGCCAGAATGGAATCATTACCAGACAACCATCTTTACCTTCCACAGGTTGCATTCATCGTTATTCCAAATATGCCGTGTGCGTAGCTGGCGCTGGGCCTTTCCCAACAGGGTCGAATGCTCCAGAGGTGTTGTACTACAGCTCCCAACTTCCCCTGCCAGGGTGGGCAAAAAGGCTGGGCTGGGGTGATGGGTTTTGGAGTCCAACACCTCTAGAAGGCGCTGGGTTGCGAAAGGCTGCTGATGGAGGTCAAACTTGAAAGGCCGTTGGCAGATGGTGGTGAGAGGATGAGTCGGGGAGAAGGAAGTGGGTGCCAATCCCGTTTCTGGCGGCTGTCACCCCACTCCAAATCCCCACCACCAGCACTGCCCCAGGCTCCCCATCTCATGGCACTGCACACGCAGGCGTGTTGCTAGAAGCCTTTGGTGTGCGACCTGAGTTGAGAAACGAAGCTGCCCACCCTGCCCAGCTTCTCGGCATTCAAGCTGCCATCTTCCCAAGCCACTTTTCGAATAAAAAAGTCACTGGACTACATGGATTTAGTCTGCCCAGTCCCCACCGGCAGGGCTCACAGACCCAGTAAGCAGGAGCATTTTTAAAAGAAGAAAAATCCACTCGAGTATTTGAGCCCGTTAATACACGAAAGCCTGTGGGATTTACCTTCATGGCCTTGTGCAGTCTCTCGGCAAAGAAAGCGGGGGTGTTCTTCATACACTTGACTGCAAAAGAAATTAAGTGCCAGGTTACTGGCTGCTGAGCCCCCCTAATCACCTTGTTCTAGGATGGTGTGCAAGCCTCAGAAAAACGGCACACTTGATAACAGCCCCGCTCTATCCAGCCCTTCTGAGTATGCAAATGCATCACACGCACACCCAAGTCAGACCAGTAGTTTCATTCCCATATTGCACACGCGAGGATGAGTCAGAGAGAGAGAGTTTGAGAAAGTTTGCAGCAGCCATAAAATGTGAGTCAGGAACTCTCTGATGCAGCATTCCGTCTTTTAGCCATAGTGTTTGGCCAGCTTCCACTTGCCCTTTAGATGGTGTTTAGTTTATGAGTTTTGCAGAAGAGCTGAGCAAAACTGGGAGATGGGCTCCAATTCTGATGGTCTGGCCCATCCTGGTCTAGGATGGTGAGGGAGAGGAGAAGGGATTTTAAAAGTTTCTCTTCCACTTTCTGCATTATTCAGTTCTTCAATTGCATTAGCTGCAAACACCATCGTAAAACTTCAAAGCCTCCTAAATGTGTACAATTGCATATTATGCAAATCCATTCCATGTGAATTCTGGGTCGTGGCTTATTCTAAGGGGCAATGGAGGGTCTGTGTAAAAGCATTAAGTGTAAAATAAATCCTCATTATAGCCCATGTTGCAAAGATGCAGGCCAACATTTTTTTTTTACAATTTTATAATTCTTTTTTTGTTTTGGTTTCATATGGTCATACTCATATTTTCAGTTCCACTATCTTCCCAGGAAAGGAGGATCTGAAGAATGTTTAGCAATCTTCAAAAACCTACAAAACCTATTTGAGGTTCTTCCCCAAGCAGACATCCTCCAGAGTGTATGGGCTATGACTCCCATCATCCCCAATCAGCATGGCCAGTGGCTAACGGATCTGGAAGGCACCAGATTGGGAAAAGCAGCAAGACTGAAAACAGGATAGCTCTAACTTCAACTTTGTGATAATGCTAAGAAATTCAACCTGCTCAACAGCAGGTCTCCGGACTAAATTAAATGAAGGAAAAAAGAATAGAGACTATTTTTCAAACCATTGGCTAATGACCAAACAATGTATAAAGGTACACATAAAATATCAAAATCCTATTACCATTGGTCAATATCTACTTTTCTTAAGCTTTCTTAGGAGCTGAGATGTACCAATGAATGAATCTGAGAACACACACACCATATTCCAAAATAAAAACAACACAAACACCTAATACTACCAATGGGAAGCACACAGCCATGCAGTTTAAACAGATCTTCATTGTGTTTGGGCATCATGGCACTGGAGAGAACCAACCCAAATGTTCATTGTAACCTAATCCAAGGTGTGCTTCCTTTCCATTAGCAAGGATGAGGCTTATCACATCAATGAATGAGGCACTTCAAGATAAGGCATGGCAATGAATTTAGCCACTCACACCACAAAAAGCATTGCATAAAATTACCATACATACAATCCAGAAAGCTTTAACGAAGCCAAAAAAAGAAGCACATATTTCAAGTTAGACTCAGTGAGCAAGGAGCAAAAAGAACAAGAGACTAAAATTTAAATAGCACATTTCAAACATTCAAAAGCATTTGACGTATATTCACAGGGTCAGTCATCAGAACAACCAGGTAAAGAATGGCAGGAAGATTGCCCTGTACTGCAGACAAGAGGCTGTGGTGGATACAGAGCAACTGGCATATGTCCACCTACTGAATTTGAGGCAAATGTGAGAAGTATGAGTCTTTGCTCAGTCTGTTAACCACAACCTACTATAGGGCAAATAAACCCAAAATCTGCAATCTGGCACTACTTTTTGTAGGACCACCAAATGTTACAGAATAGTAGCTGATCCTAAGAAAGGTATTGCCCAACTGTGGATTTTGCAGGGTTTTTCCCCTCTTGTGGATCAACAAAGCACCTTTGCCTTTTACATACCTAAAAAAGGGGAAATATGGCCCCCAATATAACTTTGAGAACCAAATGCCTGCACATTCTCTAACACTTGGACATCAAATTATGAATTGAACTATGTCAAGACCTGATAATCCCAATCTAATTATTATTATTATTATTAAACTTATATTGCTTGCTTCCTCTTGCAAGCAACTCAAGGCAGCTTGAGCATCAACAGAATATGCATGAGCATCTGCAAACATCAGTCTTCTGGTTTTCTTTTTCTTTCCTTTTATTATAAAACAAAAATTCATTTGCAGATGCTGACAAATGTGATGCGTTGCTGCACCATGCAGTGGAATTTTCCCTCGAGAATTCTGGAATTCACAATAGGATCACTGCACATTTATTATACAATAGGCAGAACTTTGATCCTGGAAGCTATGTTCTATTTTTGGGAAGCGACTTTATAATGCCAAAAATTTCTTCCCAATACTCTGCAGTTTCTAAGACTAAGAACACAAAAATAGGTTTTAATACTATTTCTGTCTGCAAAAATATAGGACTGAAAAACAGAGGCTAAAACCGAGGGATAAAGTGCGGAGTATTGATTTTACCTGCAAGTGCATTCATTTCATTGTTTTGTTGGCTTTACTGCCAGGTTTACCAAGAAAAACAGAATAGTAGCTATAAAATAAGTAAACTCTGGGGAAACCATACAGTTTGAATTCATCTTTGTGACCTATATATAGCCAACTCAATCTCTGTATCAGGTCTCTCCTTGGTGTTTCAGGCAGGCAGACAAGCCAGCTTAAAATATGGTTAAAATGGCATGCATGCTTTCATAGGCATCTTTCCTTATCTTTTACTTTGCAAAGAAAATATTCACAAGTATTCAAACATTGCCTGGGATTTTCAGGGTGGTGGTAAAGAGAATATTAGTGAGGTTATAGGTGCTAGCCAGTAAGAACCTGAGAGCCAAATTTCTCGCCAGGAGAGAAACTTAGGTGTGTGTTTCGACCCAGCAAAGGTAAACTCAGTCTACACCTGAGAAAGTCACACCTGTCTTCATCCTTAAGAGACTCACTCACCTACAGCCAGCATTCCAGATTCAAGGTCTCCAGACATCTCTCTGCTGATGCTCTTCTCAATGTCACGGTTACACATTCGCTGGTATTCACTGAAAACTGCAGGCAGAAAAAAAGAAAAGACTTTTCAGTTGAGACACTTAAGCCTGCAATTGGAGACAGGTATGTGGAAGTTGCTCCACCAAATTCTGAATAGATATGCAAAGGATTACACCTAGCTTGAATTTAGAGACTGGCAAGCCCTGACCTTCCAGAATGCTGGTACACCTCTATCAGAAGCACCTCTGCATGGCAAGTGCAGCTTTTCCTGTCCCTGCTCTCTGACCTAAGCAGCTTCGCTGCCAAAGCTCTTGATGCTGGGCTCACCAATAGGTGCTCCATCCATTACAGCCCGTCTCACGAAAGGAATGCTATAACTTTTATTATTGTACTCTGCTTTCCTTTATCTTCCTTCCTTCAGAAAAAAGCAGTGCATAAAAGCAGAGGGGCAGAAGGGGAAGAGTTCAGTTTTCTATCACCCTGCAATGCGTCCCTGACCCGATTCAACACCCAACCCCAGCTAGAGTCTAGAGCCAGTCAGAAGCCTCCCCTCCACCTGATGCATCTATTTGGGTTCGAACTCTCTGAGTGAACTGGCATTTGGTGGCTTACATGGCCCAGAGTCGGGCAGACAAAGCTTAGCTCTCCAGATGTTTGTGGACTCTCTCCCAGAAGCTCCTGTCAGCATGGCCAGTGGTTAGGATCACTGGAGCTTGGGTCCAAAACATCTGGAGATCTACTTTGTGCACACTGGAACTGCAAAAACACACGCACAAGAATATGTGAAGCTTCCTGCCCTTTTGACAGCCCATCACCAATCAGCCCCTGGATCAGAATGAAGCAACTGCAGACACAGTTACCTGCTCTCAGGTGAGCTCTGCTTCTGGTGCAGAGAATGGCGTTGAACTTGGATTCATCCGTCCCAAGCCGACTCTCTCCTGCTGCATAGAGCGCCTAAAAAGTCACAGCTGCTTATTACCCAATTACTCCAGCTAAGCCACTTAAAGACAGCTCTCTCCACCTTCCAGACAATTGCTTCTCCCTCTTAAGAGATGAATCCTCCATGGCCCGATATTCTTGGATTATGACCCCTTTCTTATCTGGACAGGACACTCATCATCCATCAGGGTTTCTTACGTTGCAAGAAATCTGGGCTTGCTACAGTTCTGCACTGAAGCACCCACCCCCAAAATCCTTCATGACACGTGGTACATTCCCCCCTTTTCTCTTTAGCTTCCTAGGCAGTATGTTCCTCTCTCCACCAGGTGCTGCTTGTGCAAAAAAGCTCAGCATAATAATGCCATCACTCGGAGCTGCCACTAAAAATGGCAGCCCTGGGTTCATTATCAATAGTGCAGCGCCTGTATGTTGGACAGCAAACATTTTCCGTTCAAAACCGCTTTCGGGAGGCAAATGAAAGGTACCAGAAATGTCCCCAATGCTTCCCGCATGCTGGCTTCTAGAAATACCTTGTGGGCTTCTAAGTTGAAAGCCAAGGAGCTCCAGATGAAGGGCACATATGCTCTGCATCAGGACTGCCCTAACTTTCGACAGAGTGAAGTAGCCACCTCACGTTACAGATTTTGGGCGTCACGCAAGGGTAGCCATAAATTCCAGCATTCCATGCGTACCATGCTTTGGTAACTGCACACCATGGAAAGTGTGCCATGCTTTGGATCACATGACCAAAACTGATTATTACTTAAAGGAGGAACTCTTGAAGGAGAGACAGATTTTAATAGAAGCTGGTGGGTGTTCAAGCTGGAGATTCAGCAACGCAGGACCAGCGACTCGCCTGGACAAAGCTTGGTAAAATTTGTCAGAAATATACACCCGCCACAGCCGATCATACCGACCTGCACATCCCCTTGGACAACTGACATGTTCACGCTGGTGCTTTCATCTCGGTTTCCCTAAAAGAATTGGGAAAGAGATGTGAATTGGGGCAGCACACGCACGGCTGCCTTAAGACCAGCCCAGTGAAAACCACTGCTGATAGGAAGGACAAAGCTGGGAGAGGACTGAGGCACAGAAGAAGGAGCAAGAGTTTAAGGGGCTCGTACTCCATCCTTGCACCACTGAACACTGAGATGCTGAGCCGCATTCCTGATGGATGCTCAGCACACCATGCGTCATTCCTTTTCAGACAAGCAGCTCAACTTCCACACCCCTTTTAAAAAGTGAGGAGGAAATGCCAGGGATAAAGTAACGTGATTAACTGCCTTGAAAAGCAGAAGGTTGGAAGCAGGCCCAATGGGGATGTAACACTAAGCTCTAGTTAGGCATTATGGGCAGTTGCTCCCTTGGACATTTCAGGAATAGGAACATCAGAGGCTGCCTCAGAAGGAGTCCAGTGTGGTCCATCCAGGTGAGAACTAGCAATACTGACCACCAATAGCTCTGCAGAGTTGTAGGCAGGATTCTCTCCTCACCCTACCTGGAAATACTGAGACCTGCATCAGAGGCCCTCTGCGCTTAAAGTCTGCTCCTCTCCGCCTCAACTTTGCCCACACAGAGGGTGTTGGAAGCAAAACTCATTCTGGTTTAAGCTTGCAGCAACGCTTCATTTCGCTCAAACCAGGAATTGCAGTAAGCTTCCATCATGGCTTACGGAAACAAATCAACATCACAAACCATAGTTTACTCTCATAAACCAGCATTTTGTTTAAGGTAGTTGCAGTTTGGCTTGGTTCATGGGATGGAAAGAAATGATCATACTATTAAGTCAGAAAGTGGAGCCGGGGAAGAAGGAAGGATCGCTAAGCTTGAACAGGCCACTTCTGGTAACAGAAAAATGTGGTTTAACTCTTCCTTTGTAGATAAGACCACGGATATCACAAACCTGAACTTATCCTTTTGACTAATCTGGTAAGAGGCTTGTGTTTCCATGGAAACACATGGGCATGTGTTTCCTTAGAGAAGGATAAGAGTGTTTTTAAAAGACCTTCCATCAAGTGGATGGAGCGATGCAGCCTCCCTTTGCCCGTCCGTGTATTGGCAAGCTGATTATGCGAAGGAAGACATTTTATGCACTCTGCAATGGGGCAGATGACACACAGTCTGCATGCAACATCAACTGACAGTATCTCCCATCAGATTTATTTTCATTTTTTAAAAAGAATAGTGGCCCTTAGTTGCAAACTACCACGAACCCTTCTGATGCTCCGCAGCTGCAATGGATGCCATTTTTTAATTTTAATATAAATATGGGGCCCACAGGAGGTGGGGTGCAGCCTGCAGTGGGGCCCAGGAGGTGAAAATGATCCCCCAGTCTCCCAAAATTGCTCCCCGTTACTCTACAATAGGAATAAAAACTGCAGGTTTCTCAGAAAGATGGAACAGTTTGTCTCTTTTCTGCCAGCTTATCTGATGGCAAGGAATTCCATGCACTCACCTGCTGGAATTCCTGGTCACAGGTAGCTACAGTGAGCAGGCAAATGACTAATTACTAGGCACGTTTGGCAGGATGAGACCCTGGGCCTCAGGGCGCTCTGAGACAAGCTTTTGATTGCAATTGTCTTGGCTCATTCACAGAATTTGACAAGGAATGCAGAAAATGTGAACTTTCATCTGTAACCCTCCCAGATTTCCCCACTGCATTTTCTGTCTCTTTTCTTACCAAATTAAAAAAAAAAAAACCCTGAAAAGAAGGAAGACAAAGAATCATTGCAGAAAGTCCTTCCCTGGTTGCGCTCTCACTGCTATGCCTGGAAGGAGCATCCGCTCCAGCAAAACATGAAATTTGGACCCCAGCTTGGCTCTAGGGAGGTCTGAGGAATCCGTCTGGGCTCGGGAGCACCAGCCTGCTCTGCGGAGGCCCAGAGCCCGGGTTCTTGGCACACACGTCCAGTACTGGCAGGACGCCGGCTAGAAACTGCCCCCTGCACGCTTCCTAAACAGGGTGTGTGCTGTTTCATGCACTGGCCATGCAGACATAAACTCCAACGGTGGCTGCTTCTTGCGCCAAAGAAGACTGGTTGGGGGGCAGCAGAATAGCGTGCCAGAACATGGCAGCCGCTCCCCATGCCGAGAAAGACTGCTTGTGGGGCGCTACATTGCAGCAGCCCTGCCAGGAAGAGCAGCCAGCCAGCACTGTGCACGCACCATCTCTCCCCTACAGCCGGCTTTCATGATGCCGACGCAGAAGAACGCTGCCGGCTGCACAACCAGCACGCTGCGAGTGTTCGCAGACTTCCTGGCAGCTCAGCTCACGTTGGAAGACCAGGCCAAGCCCCAGAGGAAGCCTGCAAATGTCGGCGGGATGGATTCCAACAGGGCTCATGCTTCCCCCCCGCGACTCTGTGCAAAACAGATGTGAAGGAGGCATCTGAACGGAGGACTCTTAAGCACTGTCTTCCTGTGTAGACTAGACAGCCAGGAAAGAAAGAGTGGGTTTTACCTTGACTGTAAGAAAAGCCCCTCACTAGTTCTGCCTTGCTTTAAGAAAAGCATGAGATGCAGTATTCATGGGAAGACCCCAGACCTGCCTTACTGGCTGGGACTCAGGGCCGTTCAGTCCAGCCCTGTCAAACATTTGTCACTGCTCAAACTTTCATGAAGGCTCGTTCGAGGCATGCAGCAAGCCAAGGAAGGGAAGAGCAGACCCGATTCCCATATATTCCATTTGCGGAGAGATCCTATAAAAGGCATTCTCAAAAATGGGACCGCAGAAGGGGTGAGGAAAGTGTGACGAAAACTTCCAGCTCCCCAAAAACCCGGTCACCGCAAGGCTTGGCACTTAGATCTGCAAGGAGCCAGACGCTTTGGGGCCGGGTAAGAGATCTCTACAGGACTGAGTCAGGCCTAACAGCTGGACGTTTCCCACTGCTGCTCTGGCATTTGCGTATGTAAACTTTCACAAAAGGTGCACCGTGTGTTTTGATGAAATCCTCTTTAAGAATGGCTGCAAAATCTGTTTATGCTCATTATAAAAGCGAAACCAGGATAATCACGAGTGTATTGAGCAGTCCTGCAAATACCTGAGCAAGTGAGATTAGAAGTCTCTGGAAGTGCCCAGACGTGTCACTTCGGATGGCTTCCTCCAGAGTTTTCTTAAATTCTGCAAAAGGCAAACGGAAGAGCCTCAGTTCCATGCTCCTTGGCTCTCTTTCGGGGGCACCGTCTTTTCTGCACCAGACAGCCAGCCTGAGTGAGTGCTGGGCAGCCCATCAGAGGCTAGACGAGAAACAGGGATGTGGATGCAGCCCAAATGGGGCATTCCCAGTGCAGGCCACTAAGAACAACATTCTCTAACTGCAACAAGGTTGTCATGCACAGATTCACCTTCATCCATTACCCACCTCATGCACTGATATTTAAAATCCACTCCGTGCATCAACTTTGCAGAGCCTTACCCCTTCGATTGACTGGATTCCTTTCTGTCCCCATTTAATTATCTTCGTTAATTTAACTGCCAACTGATGCCCTGGTTCAACTTCTCCCCTAACTTTGGAAGATGCCCCCCGAGAGAAGCACCCAAGTGCCGCCACAGAGGCAGTCTTGCCTCTTGGAAAGCAGCTCAAAGCCTGCCCTTGGGCAGCCCTGATGCGGCTGTGCGGGGCCAGTCCCAGCAGCGACTGCTTACTCTCTGGAAGAAGCTTGCTCATTTGTGGACTCAGTTCTGCAGCAGCAGCAGCCTGGCAGCCGTTCACACGACCGCTTGGGCACTCCTTCCCTCCCCAAGAACATTCTCCCAGGAGCGGAAAACCACCAGTATTGGGAGGGACAGGAATGGGAAGGTGAACTAAGGCAAAGCTACAGAATTAAGGCTCCAGAAGTTTTGCAAGTTTGCTGCCCGACTCAACCAATGCTTTTCTGTAAATCTGGGCCTTACACTTACACATGTGTGTGAAAAACGGCAGTCTTAGAGTGCAATCTGCTACAGGCCCACACAGAAGCAAGTATCATTGGCCTGGTTTGCACATTACAACAAGCCAGAGAATGGGTTCATTCGTGGGTGGTTGCTGAATCATGCTTTGTTGTTGGGTTTAAACCCGGTTTGTTCATGGTTACCCACTCATCATGACACCACAGTATAAGGTTTACACATAATGAGAACTCGCATTAACAACAACCTAATTTCCCTACGTGCCCTGGGTTGTAATTGCAGCCTCCCAGATTTTTTTAATAAATCTGTGGGGAAAGAAGTGGGGCTTATTTCTAGGAAGGCTGGCATGGAATTGCAGTGTGTGTGTGCTTCAGATGTGGGGTGAACTGATGTGGAGAAGCAATATAGAAAAACATGGCACCTTGCAAGCGGAGAGAGTCACTGGGCTATGGAAACAATTAACAACATTGTATTGTTCCAAGTGTCTCTTTCTACCTTGATCAAATGGCTCCCTGCAAAATGGCAAACCTTTGTGAACAACATAGCTTGCCATCTGCAAAGAAATCACTGGAAAATACAGCAGTTCCACCAACAAGCTCATGTCTGAAGCACATCAACAGCTTATCAGTCACGGAAACTTCACCGCCGGTGGCCAAAATCCAACTCCTGAGCCAAACATTTCTTGGCATAATACCAGAGCGGCGGAAGGCGCAGGGCCGCAACAGAACTGACCTGTTTTGTAAGCCCTGCTGATTTCTTGGATGTGGTCGTTACTGCGAGATGCCAAGATTTCTATCAGGCAGGCTTCGTCGGTGCCAGCGCCCTAAGGAAAGAAAACGTGTTCCATGAGTCCCTGGCGGCATTTCTCCCAACCCTTGACCCATGTCAAGGCTCAGGGCACCCTTGGGCTAATTGCCAAAGCCCTGATTTTCCACAGATGGAATGAATTCTTACCCGCTCTGCCAGTTACAGCACATTTTGCATGGCTACACATATGGCTCCGATTCAATTGTCTGACAGATTTTAAATAGAATTTGGACTGCAGATACTTGGAGAAACTGCAGGTGGCAGGCGGGGTCTTAAAAGAGCCATTTGCTTGCCATCCACGTGCAATGCAAGTCCATCAAAAAGGTCCTTGGGTGGCTTTAAAACAGGCCAGCCAGGGTCCATCTGGAAGCCCCCCAGAAGCCACGTCAGGACTGCCTCAGTGCCCCCATCTTAGCACGAACCAAAGAATCCCTCCAACCTCTGCTGAGAGACCAGAGATAAAGGCAGGGTTCCACCCAAGGCAGGCTTTGGGCCCAAAACATTCACATACCCTGCTTTCAAACATTTGCGCATGTTCTCAAAAGCACATGCAATTGATGGAAGTAGCCCATCGATTAAAACAAATACAATTAAATAAAGCTCAGTGATTGTTTATCATGAGAGACTCTAAGTGTACTTCCCCAGGGCCCTGGAATAACCCCCTCTTCAGCCAGGCTGGCTAGCCAGCTTGGGACCTTTCTGGTTAGTTTTCGCTATACTTGAGCTGGTGATAAGCTACGTTTTCATTGGCTGTGGCCTCCCATCGATCTGAGCAAGGGGATTATTGGATCCAACCCACCCTATAGGAGTTAAATAAAATAGCTGAGCTGGACAGGGATGGGTGACCCACAAGGGGTTCCCCAAACATTGCAGGCCCGGACGGCAGGAGCTGGAAACATTGCAATGGAGCCCCCGCATTCAGCAAGGAGAGCCACCTGCAACTGCCTGGGATTCCCTCCTGCAAGCATGCTGCAAAGAGAGCGGAAAACTGTGGTTGTTTATATCCAGAGCCTTGTCTGCTGATCCTCAACAGTTAAGGGCCTCCAGTGAGAATACTGCTATTTTCTGTTTCTCCTTGGCTGCTGTATATATAATATTTAGCACTCCTTGGCTTGCATCAGCCATTTGTCTACCTGGCACAAAGCCATACTGATCTGCGTGGACATAATTCATTATAAAACCGTTCAATCTTTGAGCCAATACTGAAGAAAAATAGTTTTGATCCTGGTTTTGTAATGTAATTGGACCATATGCTAAGGGAAGGGTAAATTCATCCAAACCTTGATCGCATCTTTTATTTCATGAACGTCGAACTGGACAGGTGTCTTCATCATTGCCAGGATGGTCTTCTCAAAGTTTCCAGAGAGCTCAGACTTCAGGTCCTTGATCAAATCCTGGTTTTCAGTTCAAAAGAAATAAACGTGTTGCAGTTACGAAATGGAAGGCAGCGAGTTTAAAGAATGATGCTCTTTGGGGAAGTCCCTGGGACTTCCTCCCAGGGAGACCTGCACAGGATTGCAATGCCAATCTATTCCTGTGACACTTGGCTGGCAACATTATGCAATATTTAAATGTAATTCTTACAGACATTCCACCATCGATTTAGAGGGTACTTTAAGGAGTAATGGAAGGACAAAATCCAAGGTCCCTGCCCAAAGGAGCTTACAGTGCAAAGGCTTAATCGGGGAAGGAAGAATAAGTTACAAAGGCAGTGGCAAGCAAGGCAAGGCAAATGGCACAGGATGAATATTTGCCACTTCACACATGTTAGTGGTAGACAAATTAAAGTGCATTCGTGAAGAATAATGACCAAGACCATCAGTTTAAAAGTCATTCTCCTCTTTGCCACCTGCTGGGCACTCGGAGCAGCTTCATGGCATAAGAAATTATAGAATAAAAATGTACTGTTATTTTGCATCTGTATCCCACCTTTCTTCCTCCTGTAAGGAACCCTTGTAAGTAGCTTACAAGGTTCTCCTTCCCTCCAGTCTGTCCTCAGAACGACTACCTTATGAGGTAGGTTAGGCTGAGAGGCAAGACATTCAGTGAGCTGCATGGCAGAGTGGGGATCAGAACACAGACTTGTCAAGCCCCAGTCCAGCGCTCTTAAGCACAGTAGCTGCGTATCAGCAACATGCCTCCTAAAGCAACGCAAAGCCTAATACAGGGACCAGCAGCACAAATTCCGTCTGAATTGCCAAAAATGCTCCTGTTGAAGAGTTATTACCAGATGTATTTCGCTTGGGCCCTCACAAAAAATGCCAAATTCGTTCGCTTCTTTTGCTCTTATCACAGAATGCCCCTCCTTAAGGCTCTAAAAGACTTGCTGTCTTCTCCAGCAAACTGACCCTATTTTTAAAGTTCTCCGTGGCTTTGCTCCCACTACAACAACTATCCACAATCCAGAAGCCCCCTGCTCCCTCCGCAGGCTCCATCTTTTCTCTCATGGTGGCCCATGACACAGAACGGCCTCCCAGAACCCCTGTGCGATGCCTCTTGTGTCACCTGCTCCACGTCCCTGCCCGAAACCCACCTGTTAAGCACCCCCCCCCCATGTGCTCCTGCCACAACTCATCCTGTAGCTTAACCCACCAGGGGCCAACGAAGCAAGACTCCCCCCCGCTTCTGTGCTTCCCTGTGCCAAATTTCAGACTGGCAGTTTTCAGGGCAGGCTTGCACTCCATAAACAGCCATGCACATGGATGGTGCAATCAACAATAATGAGAATTAATATATAATTGCATATCCATGGGAGGAAGCTTACCTTTCCATACGCTGTTTTGAATGAGAGCAGGATCTGCTGCCGTTGCTTGTTCGAACGATTTCCAAGACAGTCTATGATCGCCTGCTCATCAGTGCCTGAGAACACAGACAGGGACACTCCATGAGACCACAGTACTTTGTGGTCTAAACAGTTTCAGTATAAACAAATCCAGTGTTTCATATGTAGACAAAAATCAAACCGGCCCACATTGCTTCTGCTGCATTGGAATGCATGTTCTCATATACATGCTTAAATCTGCATTTGTTGCATTATGCGTGTGATAGTTAAACCTCCAGGAGGAACGACATCACGGAATGTTCACGAACACTTCAACTGTTCCAAGCACCCCAATGTTTCCAACTTCTATATGAGAGGGCATGTTGTCAGGTTGGCTGCTTTACTGCCCCAAACTTTGCATTGGCTGGGGAGGAAGGGAACGCAGGAACTGAAAGGAAAGATCCAGCAGAATCAGGTGGGGAAAAGCAGCAAGATGTTGTAAAAGACTGGAAAAGTGTTTCTATTACAAAGCAAATAAGGAAAATAAAATAAAAATAAAAGCAAGCTGAAGACCTTGTTGCCTGGAAGGACAAGTGAAATGCCATGTGGGGATGCCTTAGAAACCAGAAGGGAACAGAAAAGCTCATTGTTTAACCAGAATGAGAAACTATGCATGGTTTTCCATACATTTGTTCTGACCCAATATTTTCAGTGGGCAGAATCCTCCGCTGCCCCTATTCCCCCACTGTTTCTTTTGCCCCAGCAGGAGAGGCTCTTTCTGCAACCGGGGATTTTAAAATGGCTGGGAACTCGCAGAAATGCTCACTTCCTAATTGAAGCAGATCTGCAAAGCTCTTTTCTGTGGCCTCGGCCGGCATGCCCCATTCCACAAACAAATGTTTCTGCTCTGGGGGACTTGACTGGAAGACTGTATGATCTCCATTGTACCAGTGGTGCTCCCACCGGCCTGTCAGTACTGCAGGGCGCTATCAAATATCCTTGCGGCTGACCACAGAACCCCTTAGCTGGTCTCAGTTGCGTTTCAAGGCCAGAAAACACGTGCATTGTAATTCTCCGAATTCCTTTCAAATTATAAGCAGACACAGGTGCTGCTGCACCCCGTAAGAGAGGCAAAGTAAAACAGAAAATGCTTTATTTGAAGGTGCAAGCAACAGAGGTGACAGAACTAGCTCCTCTGCCTAGAATTCGGCCGCCTCCCTTCAGTGAGGAGCAATGCCAGCTTCCCCCAAGGCACAATGCCTACAGAATCATCACAACTCCAACCTGGAACATTCTGCACAGCTCCTGTAAAGCAAAGTGCAAACCGTTCGGGGATGTGTAGAAACAGCAGGTGGCACAAGGCAGAAACTCCACTGCAAGAGAAAAGCTCCCGGCCGTGAATTCCAGCAACACTCACCGAATCCTTTCATGGCTTTCCTCAGCACTTCTGCATCCCTCAGGGAGTCAAATGAAGGCGCATCATAGATGGTGCCTCGGTTTCCAGACTAGAGTTCCCCAAGAAAGAGAACAAGGATTGATTAAAAGTTTTGCATTCTGCGATAAACCTACCCTAAGTCTGCAGCACCACATTTGCAGCATGTAAGAAAACACAGACGAGGATTCAAAGAAGCTTTCCTTTTAGAGTCAAAATGCCTTGTTCTTGGTACTGCATTAGCTGGCCCTTTTGCTTGCCGAGCTACAAGTTAAACGGGACTTGTTTGTTAAGTCCTCCTAGTTAGATTAGTTCACTTGGAAGGACCCCGTTTATCCCAAAGGCCCAAGGTTGCTTCATACTTTTCTTAGCCTCTTACCACATATAAGCGTGCCAGCCCATTTGCAAATCATGCCCTTCAAGATACAAGATTCTTTTTATTTCTTAAAGTTATCCATTCTTTTAGCCATGTTAAAACAGAAGCTTGTGATAATACAACATTCAATCAGGGAGACCAAAACCCCCGTTCTCTTTAGCCTCCTGAAGTATTTTTTAATTTAATGCTTGGTTTCTTCTTTCTCCATATAAGTCTTGAAATTTGAAAATTTAAATCATCAAAAAATGTTCCTATTGATTTTTATGGGAATCATTTTTTATGGGAATCAATACGAACAAAAGCTTTGGAAATATATTCATTTTAGCTAGCGCTATTCTTCCCAGCAAGGATAATTGCAAATTAGCCCATTCTTCCAAATCACTCTTAATATCCTTAAATAGTTTATCATAACTGTCTTCTTTCAGAGGAGTACACTTAGCTGTAAGATAAATTCCCAGATAGCTTCATACTTTTCTTCAAGCTAAGGATGGGGGTACAGAACCTAGGCACTACCAGAGGGGACAAACTGCAGACACGGGGGAAATGCTCAACCTTCTTCCTGTCTGACCTTCTCTGAATGCTCCTTCCCCCTGCACAGCCTCTTCTCACCACTCAGCGTGGCAAACACCTATTGAGGAAGGTCGGAAGGGTACAGAAAAAGGGTCACCCGTTCTCCTGCTTCCACTCCTTGCGACTAAATCCTCCCAGATTGCTTTGCAACCAGACAACAGCTGCAGAACTTCGAGATTCTGCCCCATCTCCCAAGTTCAGTGCAAGGAGGAGCCCAGTAAAGGAGAACAAGGACTCCCTTACCTTTCCAGGAGTCACGCTGGGCATTGCAGGTCCGGGATAGGATGGCATCGAAGGATTAACAGCTGGGCCAGGAGGAAAGCCCGGCATGGGCTGCTGTCCAGGATATGTCATTGGTTGGGGTTGCTGCCCTGCGGGTGGCATGGGCCCCCCAGGATAGGCTGGGTAAGACGGCATTCCTGAGGGAGGGTTTCCTCCTGGAGGCGGGGGGTACATGCCGTACCCAGACTGCTGCCCTTGTGGGGGCTGCCCGAAGCCCCCTGGAGGTGGGTGCTGTCCTTGTGGCGTTTGGCCGAAGCCCCCTGGAGCAGCCGGGGGATAGCCACCAGGGACTGGTGGGTACATACTCTGCGGCACGTTGGCACCACCAAACGTTCCTGACATGTTGGAAGCCTGAAACAGGAGAGAAAAAATCCAATTTACACAGTTAGCCAGCACAGATCCAGTAAGACACAGGACTTTAGACTGTTGGGAGCCGCTCACATAGAATAGAGCAGCAATCTTTTATACTGGCTCTGTAAAGTAGGTCAGAATTATTTCAAACTGCAGATACAGGGAAATGCCAAGTGACTGCAGCCTTCTCCACTCTGGAGTCCTCCAGATGTTTTGGACCACAACTCCCAATATTCCTGGCCATCCACTTCTGGAGGCCCCCAAGGTGGAAGAGGCTACTTTGTGAGTCCATGGTTTGGGTGAGATCTGGACTTGGGACTTCCTGGTTGTCGGTGTAGTTTCTTCTCCAATGCACGCTTTCTCCAAATTCACTCATTTAATTCTCAGGCTATGACTCACTCTATAACCAAAGATCTCAGGGCAACATGCATTATGCTCACACCCTAAAATGTCTCACAAAAAAGAATTTAAAAGCAGCAGCAATTGTTAAGCAACTCCTTATAACCAATCAAAGCATCTACAGCAAAAGGAAAATTTAAAATGCAGCTGTTATTTTTAACAGATTGTTAAAAATGAAAGAGGCGGTAGCCTAAATAAATAAATATTAATGGCCTGGGAGAACAGAAAAAGGTCAACCAAGTTAGTTAGTTCCTAGGAAAGGCTTTGCACAATTTTGGGACTGCCAGAGGGGAAAATGGCCCATAAGCAGCTACCCACCGAATGATGCAGCTACTCCAATGGCGTTCTTTAGCACAGGTGGGGTAAGATGGGCAGGGCGATTTTTCAGGTTCTGTTGCCCCACACCATGCCAAAAACTAAAAAAAAGGGCCATACATTTTGGTAGGCCGAGAGAACCCCTCATTCCCCCTTCTGTCAAAATTTAGTGTCTGCTCTGGAATCTTATTTTTATATCTCTACAAGTATGCAAATAGCTCTACCAAATATTTCAAATACCTGAAGAGAATGAAGGACAGAAGAAGCCTTTGTATCAAGATGGATACTTTTGAGGATATCGTCTCTGTTAGAGCTTTAGACAGTGTTTCCAGAGGAGTCCTTTCTTTTATCATTTATCCTTCCCATTGTGAATAATAATTTAGATTACTTTTCCTATGGAGCCTCTCACATTTCTTGCTGAAGCCGCCATCCTCAGGATGCTATTTTCCCCCAGGAGGTTTAGGTCCAGTTGCTCAGGCGGGCAGTGCCTACTGTTGGCACAGGGATGTGTTAGAAATTTGGTTTGGGAGAGGGAACCCATTGGATTTCCTCAGCTCTGCTCCCTGGACTCACTCATTTTCTCTCTCCCCTAACTCTGCCTTGTGCCAAGCATCCATTTCCCACATACATGATTCGCAAGCTTTACATACTTTGCGCAAAGAATCACAGGATTTGCAAATTTTGCAAAAGAATTGCGTAATTTGCAAAATGTGCACGAAGAATTACATATTTTGCGCAAAGAAGCCACTGGTGTCCTTGAGCACTCACGGGCTTGATCTCACTTTGGTCACTTCCTGACCAGGGCCAAGTGTGGGAAAGAAGTTTGGGAAGCACAAAAGAGTGAGATTCCAGACTAATCGATACGTACGTCACGAAATGACCCCTATGAAAAACTTCTGTGATCCCCTCAACATTTAATCAAAACATATGTGCATACAATTCCACTTATTTTGCAAATAAAATAAAGCTTCAAAGAAGGGATGTATGTAGTAAAGTTAAAAAGGTCGAACAAAAATAAGGTAAAAGGAGGAAAAGACGGGGGAGGAAATTTTTAATTTAGCTTTGTTTTCTTGTTGCTGTAAACCAACTTAATGACCTTATGGATAGACATGCTTATTAGAAAAAATAGGGGCAAAATGGCTACCAGCACACCTTTGCCATTAGCTTCAGTGCAAACGATTCAGACTCCTCAAATGGAAATACTTACCATGCCGCTCATATAATCTGGATTAAACTGGCCAGCATAGCTGGCAACATTTTCAAGCCCAATTGGGGGAGGGTTTGAAGGAGGATAGCCGGGAGCTCCCCAGGGACTACTGCCTGGAATGAAGGCAGAAGAACAAAAGAGTAAGCACAGAGAAACATCTGGTATGTGTTGGTGTGTGAATCGATACTGCAGTATTCAGTGGCTCAAATGGCAAAGCAGCAGTTTGATGGAGCTCTCAGCCCCGGATGACTTCTCCTGCCATCCTCCGTTGGGACTCCCAATCAGGGAAACTCCTCTTGCAAGGACAGAGCCTCTGGTCTTAGCAGCTGCTTCACTGGCAACCATGCTAGAATCACGCACACATTTCAAAGGTCTGAGAACACCCATCAAAGAGAGAATGATCTCTCTGCAAGCCACGCCATGCGTAAACCACACTGGCACAAGGTATACAAGAGGGAGTCTGTTGAACACGATGCATGGGAGCAGCCGAGAACTTCAGGAAGAGAAAAGCTCTGCTGGGTCTATTGGCTCCCAAACCTATTGAGGGCACAATCCAATGCATGTTCAACTGGAAAACCCCCCTCAACTCCAGAGTCTCCCAACCAGCTGGGAAATGCAGGGCATTTTTTCTGCCTGAATATGCATAGAGACACACTCTTACTTTGCTTTGTAGACTGTCCTTCAATAGAATTATTGGAAGCATGTAAGCATAACTGAAACAGGATCTATAAGGCAACGTCAGTGGCTTGGTGATATGATTAGAGGTCCACAGTGGCTGTGTCTGGATTTCACACTAGACTATGTTTTGTTGTTACATGAATGAGCTTCAGACTCGCTCCAGACTTGCCCTTCGTTTGCACTTGTGGAAGGAGAAGGGAAGCGCATGCTTCCATTTCTAATTAACTGTGTTTTAGCGTTATGTCTGCACTCAGTTAATCATAAATAAGCAGTATGTCCAATCTTGGTTAACTTGGTTAATCTTAACCATGGTTTGAAGTTGACCTGTTTCAGGAAACTATAGTTAGGACTAATCAGCTTTGTCCAGATTCAGCTATAAAGCTGAATTATGATGAGTGAAGAATGGAAATGCAGACTTCTGATCTCCTCTAGGCAGCCATGCTGGGTGTGGGAACAAATGAAACCAAGGCTTTTTTGCAAAATGCAAAATCATAGTTTAACAGGATGTGTGAATGAGTCCAGAAAATGCTGTTCCAAAATATTTTTAAAAGGTAAAGCGGTCATACCATCATGCCACAAATCTGTATACTTCTTAGCATAGAATCCATTCTAGATCCCAAATCCTATCATTTTGTAAACTTAAAAACACCAGCAACACAATCTACTCCCACAAAAAAGATGGCAAGCACTGATCCAAGGACTGCCTTCATCCCCACCTTCACCTGCATTTGACCTATGAGCCGCTTCGACACAGTTTAAGGGAGGGAGCTTTCCCACCACAGCAAATCACGGTGATGTGGCCATGGAAGGGGCTTCTGGTGGTGCTGGGGGGACACAAATTGCCCACCCTGGTCTAATGGAGTGGGAAGCAGCTCTTCAAGGGTTCAACTCTTGCTTCCCAGGACCCTCTTAACCGGAGATGCATGGGTCGTCTTCAGCATCCTTTACCCATTCGACCCAGACCTTCCCAGACCAAGCTACTTTGCTCTGCCATGCCAAGTGAAAAGCAGCAAGCTTACCTGGAGCAGGTGGATACCCACCAGCAGGAGGATACCCCGGATAACTCATTCTCTAGAACAGAAAAGAAGAGATCTTTCTTAATGCAGCTCGTTCATGCTATAGGCAACACAGAGAAACCGGCTGGACTCTTAGAATTTTGCCTTATATAGCACTCCCCATTTTCAGGCCGGTTGGCTTGGTCTTTCCACCTTATCCTCACAATGGCCTGTGATGTAGGTTAGGCTGAGAAATGGCAACTGGCTCAAAGTTACCCAGTGTGATTACCAGTCATCCCGGGGTTTGAACTGAGATCTCAAAGTAGGTCAGACTCCAACACTCCAGCCGCTCACTGGGTAATGCTATTTCCATTGTGTGTTGAATTTTTATAATTTGGATGTTTCAGCCCACCAACACTGTCACGAAGGGAAGCAGCGGAGGACAGGAGGGCCTGGAGTGCTGTGGTCTGTGGGGTTGCAAACAACAACGGTGAAAAAAGTGCCCCCTCCATCTGCAGAGTGACACTCATGATTGAAGATTATGCACAAGGATAACCCCATTTGGCTGATGGAGGTAGACTTTCCCAAGGGTATTTGCCATCCCAAGTTTAAACAGGTTGCCCCTGGAAGCCAATAACTGATAGCTGTTAGAATGTAGGACGAACTCCAGGGAGCGCTGGGTTAAAATCTCTCTGCTCTGAAGCTCACTGCAGAACCCTGGGCAAATCAGTGTCTCAAACACACCTCAGAGGGTTGTTGGGAAGATAAAACAGGATAACAATAATGATAATGAAAGCAGGCATTGACCAGAGCCAATTAGGTGGGTCCTTCCCACTGCATCACACAACTAACTGGCAGTTTTAAAAGTCTGCTGAGAAGTTCGGGGGAAACTAGGAAGAATGTCCCCTTGTAGCACATCCAAACACCCCAGAAGGGTATGCAGGTAACATAGCGTAAAAGTTGCACCTTTCTTCTTCAGGTTGTAAATTCGTGCACTTCCTCTATAAAGTTTTACAATTCCATATGCTACCTTCTCACCTATCCAGGCACAGATGCGACTTCAGTGCACCATTCAAAGCAAATTTATCTTGTTCTTTACTTCCAAGTAACAGTGCTTAAGACCAAAAGACACATCCATCAAACTCTAAGTGCATTGACTTTTTATCACAGAAGAGAACTCTCCCAAAGCTTCACACTTTACACACCTACAAATGTGTATTAATAATCTTGTACACACAGTGAAAACTGTACCCTATTTCAGCTTTCTGGTAAGTGCATTTGACCAAAATAAAAATAGTGGTATGTAAGCACATATGATATTTTTACTCCCATATATAAAATGTTTGGAATGTCAACCTCACATTGGAACATTCCTTCAGCTTTTTCCAGAGTTAATATTACTTTAATGATATTCGACTCCACCTAAAACCAGACTTTTTCTTCAGTAAGAACTCCTATAGCAAAAGTGTTCCCTTCCCCTCCTCTGGAAAAAAAAGTAAAGCCACTTCTGTCCACAAACTGGAGTAACAGGAATATACGTATGCTATTTTTTTGGCCATCTGCTAGAAATACACCACAAGAGCCATTCTTGGGTTGATTAAAATATACTGAATAAAGAAGAACCTAGTGTTCTGTTTCGCTAAAAGACCTCCTTATCTAGATGTAATCCACCCACATCTGTCCCCTTAATAACACAAGTTTTGCTGCTATACTTGGGTCTCTAAAATTGTAACCGCTTTTTCCAGGTTATAACGAAATCCTCATAATACGGTTATTCATTCCGTCCAGCCACAAATGCCAGAAAGTGAAGAGCGAAGGATAAGCACAAGAGAACGGCTGTGTTGTGATCCAGAGCATAGAAAAGTTTGTTGATTTAGCTACCTAACTTCAACTTAGAAATCTTTTTTCTAGCAGCTTCAAACCAAAGGCTCTGGCTATGTCAACTTTCCACTCGTCCTTGGCTCCAGGAACTATATACGAACATCGTGAAAACATATTCCCGTTACTGAAGATCATGTTCATCAGAGGTCACACATGAATAATGTCACCAGAATAACGGACCTGTAGAACATTCTAGCCACTCCCACCTTATACACAGATGGGTGATAAGGAAACTGGGAGAAGAATGACAGGTATAATAAATTTCACAACCGTCTGGACCCAGTCCAAGGGCACTTTAGGGCTGCCTTGGCATTCCCGTTCTGCCATTTGTTCGAAAGAGAATTTAGATGGTTGTCCCACACAGCACTTCGAGCTTTTCTAGACAGGGATGTTTAATCTTGGCTTCTACCTCCAGTTTCCTTGCAGAATTGAGATCTCTTCTTGGGCTCTTCCATCCCTTTTCCTTCTTTCTGTTGGCCCAGGCTGCTGGGGAACAGCAACGAACAGTCCCGATGCGTATCAAACTGTACCAGTTCTGGCCATAAGAAGGACCATTTTTCTCCATTTTTGAAAACGAGGACATTTTAGAAGAAATAAGCAGTTTAAGCCTTTCTCTCTTTGTCACACACACACACACACACACACAGGCAAATGAATTCCTCATTTCATCCATTGTTTTCTTTAACCAAAGTGTAGTGCTAGATGTTCATTATTGAGCACTAATTACAAATAGCGATAACCAGAGTCGCCTTAAGGATTGCATCAAGCACATAGCACATGCCCAAGAAAAAATGCCGGTATATCAAAGCACCAGAACTCCGTCTTTCCCACTCTAGCACAATCATTTCCAGTAACACCAAGCCAGAACAACCACTCAGGTCAAACGCAGTCCACCCACCAGGTATGACAGCCCACCGGCTATCTGACAATTTCCCATCTTTTGTAGGGGGCAAACCACAACAATCACAATGGAGACTTTCCCAGGTTTCCACTCAGAGCCTGTGGGGTGCATTCATTTTTGGCGGGGAGGGAACAGAAGCTACAATGGCTGATCCACTACAAGCTGTTATCCCTTGATAAGGAAGGGAGAACCAGAAAGAGGGAGGGAGAGACAAAAGATAAAGGAAAAACAGCCAGTTCTCACCAACAGGATGTTGTTGTGGAATTCTAAGCCTCCTGCAGTTTCCAAACGCAAAGTACCCCATTCCCACCCATAAAAAGAGCCAAAGGACGTGTCCTTTCCCCAAAAAAGTTTCCCGGATTTTTTAAAAAAATGAAAGAGAAGGGGGAATGCTCTCTGACTGTTTCAAGTGAGGTGATCCACACACCAAGGGGTAACTTTTTAAAAATGGCTTTTATCCCACTCCTCAGTTAAAAAGGCCCCAGGATTGGCTTCTGTGCAACCAGCAAACAAGATAGTGCTTGAGTTCACATGACACTTTAAACCTGGGCTGGCCCCTGCTGAACCTGACCAATGACAGGGCAAACTGGGGCCCCTGAGGCACCTCTCCCCACAGAGCTTCCACCAGTACTCCAGGATGAATGCAGGAGTGCTTAAGGCCTGGAAGAGGGATCGCAGCTGCCGCAAGTGCCAGAGTAGCAACAGACGTCGCCTAGGGGCAGCTGTCAGAGGCCCCCCATGGTAAAGCTTGGCCTCTTCTCAAGGAGACCAAGCCGAATAGGACCTCCTCTCGAGGAGGCCAAGCGCAACATGCCCGGTCACATGCCAAGGTCTGCCACACGCTTGGCGCTCGAGCCCCAGTTCAGGTTTCTGGAGCCAGCACGCAGTGCTCCAGGCAGTGATGCCAACCCTCCATCTGGCAGAGGAGGCTCAGCAAAAGGTGTCTGCTTGCTGGCAGCACCGGCTGCTGCACGAAGCTCTCAACCCGCTGTTGCTGAACAGGAGTGCAATCTTTGGCGTGTCTCCTCAGGAGTCCCACGAAGTTAAATATGCAGTCTTAATTGATCGACAACTGCATGTGCACGTGAATAAAAGAACGGGCTGAAGCAAAACAGAAGGCTTTTAAATGATTATGCACTGTAAAATTGGCAGGCCACTGTGTGAGAGAGAGAAGCAGGACTGCTTCTTAAGAAGACTGCAAACGGCAAGCACTTTTTGTGAGTGCTTGGCTCACAATCAGGGCACCCTTTCAGTTGATCAAAGGGGTCTCCCCCCCGGTGCCACGAATCAGTTTAACGTATTAACTGATTAAATGTTGCAGTCTACTTCTCAGCAGAAATCAAAAGACAGAAAAGGGATTGATTGCGAGTGGTTTCCTGACATGGTAGATCTCAGCTCTCATTGTCATTTTAAAGCCAGGAACTGCTTTGTTTGCTCCATTAAAACACGGCCTCGCCTCGGATGAAGCTCTGAAACTGAAAAGGCAATATTGACAAAGGGTGGACAGCACAAACGAAACCCCACAGTGGCGCTGTGAGTTACTCAGAAAAGTTCAGTAAGGCACTCTGCTGTTCGCCTCTGGTGTACTCATGCAGACCTGGTATGAATTCCAGATAAAGCAAGCTCTTGCAGCCAACAAGTAGCATAATTAATTCAAAATTGCTCAGCAATGCAAAGAGAAAGATCTGGAAAGGGAGGTAAGTGTTTGCAAGCGACTTTGGGGAGCATTTGCCTTCATTCAGCGTGCTGGGTCTTAGATTTTTTGGGGGCTACAGCATCCAGCATTCCTGCAAGTTGGCCAGGCTGGCTGAGGTGGCCAACCTTACAATGGAAGTATTTTCATATCCACTCCTGAAGCCTGCTTTACAACATCACTTTTCCATTTAAGATAGAAGTGTAACAAAGAAGCAATTCTAAAAATTGGAATTGCAAGAGCTGAAAGGCAAATATTTAATGGGCCCCATCCTGCTAATGCTTAGGCACATGCAGACCCCAATGAACAGCAAGATTATGTGATTTTCCCCCAAGTCTTTTGCTTGCTGTATGTCCACACCACATTTTAAAATATGCTGGCAACCAAGGGCTTGCCTTTCCGGGCAATCTCTATTCCTTGGCCTTGTGCCGCTTTTAAGGGAGGAGCAACCATTTGTTTGTCCAGTGGAAACATCAACTTTCCCCTTTTGGATTCACACCTTAATGTGGTCGGCAGTGATGAGGATTAGTCTGAGCTTCGTAAGCTACAGCAAACCCTTTGACTGTGTCAGCATGAGAAGTTACGGATGGTCCTGACAGAA